AATGTTAGGAAAATAACTTGGAATAAACATAATTTAAAATACATGGGCAGGATTGGGGGTGGATTTTTAAAATCATATAGTGTTTTTTTAATTACAAGTGACCTCAAGTAAGTTCACTGGAATCATATCTGTTGGCTTATGGACTAGATAACAAAGACAAATAAAAGCATACTTGTGACCAAATTGATATCATTTACTAGAAAATGGGAAAGACACTAGTTATTTAATTTTCTTCCTTTTGAATTTCAAATAATTACGATTTTGAGACATAGTATTAATCTCCATCAATGATGCATGGAGTTGAGTTCTGCTATCATTGTATCAAGTACACTTATTATAATCTGTGGGTTAGTTTTTTTCATAATAAAATGAACAAACAACATATACCCAATGAACAACCAATTTCTTTTTTTAATGTAGCTTAATCCATGCCTTCAAATATTCTCTATAAAAAAAAATTTAAATTCATACCATTATACATAGAGAATCAGCTTGGAGCCCACTCACATCCTTAGAAACCCAACAAACCCAACATCAGTCTTCATCCTTCCCCAGTGTAGCCTCTGGATAGAGCATACCTAAGTTTAGGCTTTTTTTTTTTTTTTTTTTTTTTTTTTTAATTTGGGAAATGGGGAGAAGAGAAGGGATGGAAATAACAAAAAATATAATTCACCAAAAAAAAAAAAAAAAAGAAAGAAAAAAGAAATACAATATCCCCATCAACACCCACCAGTGGGGGAAAAGAACATGTTAGTAAGCCTAACTGACAACAACAATATCGTATTAGCTGCAATTTATTGAGTGTCCGCCTCGCCGTGCCTCAGTTTCCTCATTTGCAAAATGACAGCAGTTTATTGAATTATTAATTTGTTCTGTCCTATGGATATTTCCAATGGGTGTCTATCCCTTGTCTCCCAGATGTGTGAAAGGCAGGAAGGAGGAGGCACCTGAAGGCAGGGCATGTAGGTTCCCAGACGCTGGGAAAGAACGTGCTAGTAAGAGTAGCAGGCAGACGTGTCTCTGTCTGTTGGCACTGGAGACTACGGATGAGAATCCCTGAGAAAACAAGGTAAAAGGAGGGACCAGAGACGCTCAGAAGGGAGCAAATGTGCCAGCTCCCAGACTAAGGCAGCAGGATATAGTCTGTTCAGGGAGGAAATCTACAAAAAAGTCCCTTTGTGCTTTGAGTGCCTTTCGAGGCTTTGTTTCCCACGAATTCATCATACCTGGGCAAAGCCTGCCGGGCCTAGTGCTGCAGCCCCCGCAGGTGGCTGGGTGCCCCCACGTGAAGGGATTATGTGAGGGGACACTGTTTCTTCAACACATCGCTTCCTTGTGTGAGTATTTAGAAAACTCTTTGTCTAGCCAAAAAAAAAAAAAAAAAAAAATTATCTCCTTTTCCCACTGTTCATATTATATAACAATACGAGTTTTCAAAGGGTAGTTCCAAATAGGCAATCAGGGGACAGGAAAACTTACTGAAATAGGAACTCCGAGCCTTGTTTTACCCAGCACGTGTTTCTGTCCCCTTTCCAAGAGGGTAGCTCAGATCTTGCAGACCTTCCTGAGTATTCTGCTCTGTGTAAGATGGCAAGTTCAGACTATCGCTGCCAGGTGGTGCATGTCCGTAGGCACAGTGACAAACTAGACCACCTGTTGCAGCAAAACAATGGCTCGTTGATGGCCTTACATGGATTAAGGAAACCAAGGAATAAGAATATTTCCTGCACTCTTAAAGTCTACGGAGCAGGATTCATTTTGGCTAGAAGTATATGACAGTCTCGAATGTGCCTTTTCAAGCTGCCACCCCTGCCTTCCTTGAGGTAACAGTATGCCCTGATGGCTAGAAATGTTCCCAGTGCTCCATTTCTTAAAGAAATTATGATTAACACGGTTCATAGAAAAGCATGCGAGGTTCTCATGTAGGTAAAGGAAGCTTCTGGGTTGCTCCTTCAATCTCATTCAAACAGTGCACAATAAATAGGGTTGGGGCAATCCTGGGAGGTCCTGGGGACGTGTGTTAGATACATGGGTCGCCTCTAATAGGTTTAAACATTCTGTTTCTTCTTAATTTTGCTGGGTGGAGTCATAAGCTTCTAGCTTAAGTTACTTCTAAGGACGGTGCAGGCAGGGCCACCCACCAGTTCCTACCCGTTGCTGTCCACCCTGACACTTTGGCAGTAGCCCAGCAGCTATCATAACACAGCCAGCAGACCACAGTCCTTTCTCTGCACCTGCTTTCTCCTCCCCTTCCCTCTGTCGTGCTCTTTCTATCCCTCCCACCCGATGGGGGAGCCCTTGGACTTTTCTCAGTCCCACCGGAGCACAGAGGATAGAAAACACCCAAAAGACCCCTACAATGGGCAAGCCATTGCCTCCAGTCTAGAATGAGCCACTCCTGCTTCAGCTTTTCAAAGAGGATTGGGGAGAGAAGGAGCAGTGAGCCAGAAGCTAAGGCCATAGCCTAGGAAGCTCATTTGGGCTGAGGGCACAGGAACAGCATCCTATTCAGGGCCCCAGCCCTGCAGTAGAAGCATGGACTCTGGCCACAGGGCACATGCTCATGCCCAGTGTGGAAGGCCACTCATCAGAGAGGATGTAGCCAGTTTTCAGGTCAGGAAGGATGGCATAAAAGGCCATTACCTGGGTCCCTTCCACCCAAGGACATGCCACACACACACACACACACACACACACACACACACACACACAGACTTTTATTTCAAAAGATGGGAATTTAGCTTACATAACTAGCATATCAAATCTGTAAGTTCACTGTTATCGCTTAGCACTGCACACTGGTTTTTTTTTTTTTTTTTTTTTTTTTTTTTTTTTTTTTTTTTCATGAAAAAGTGAGTCAGGTTAAAGAAAACAAATAAGTAAGTTAGTAGAAGTGACCCATGGGATCTTGACTACCTGTTGGAAAGTTGACATAGAAGGGCCAAGTCCCCTGGACCTACAAAGCGATCCATCCTGTTTAGGGGCAAAGCTGTGGATCTCACAAGACCAGAATTGGCCACGGGGCTGACAGTAAGTGTGGCTCAACTGCATTTAGCCAGACACGTGCCTTCACTGGCTCAGGGAGCTATCCAACGGTATGGCATTTGATCAAATGATAACTATTGAAAATGTTAATAAGGATGTTTATAATAGAGCTGTTTGAGAAGAATGTACTAACTCAGTGGAAAGTAGGGCGAGACTGAGGAGAAATGGGAAAAAGGGAAGAGAAGACAAGTTGGGAGGGCAGAGAGAAAAAAGAGAGAAACACTGATATATGATAGAAATCTTAACCACGCTCCCTTTTTATAAGAAAGCCCTAAGCTTTGCAGCAGTCCATGTGGCCATGAGGCTGCCTAGCAGATACGTCTCGAGATGCCACTGCACGCTTAACGTTATTCTTAAATTCTGTTACAAGTTCCTAGCTGAAACCATGGCTGAAGACAGTTATTTCTGAAATGATGTCATTCTGCCATCCATGGATCTTAAAGAGGTGTTTTAATTTCCCTGATGTAAACACAGAGAGCTGGAATGCAGAGCTTATCCAAATAAAGCCCTAGTCTTTATTCCTGGGACCCTGCCTGCTGTGGAAGCCAGATTCAGAGTCTGGTGGGCATGATGAGGCAGGTCAGTCACCCTGGGGGCAACGACCCACCAAGAAGTTAAGCATTTGCTACAGGAGACAAGAAAGATGCTCAGCCCCTCCTGCCTTTACCTCTTCTCCTCAGCCCTGGAAGGGAGGGATCACAATACCCATTACCTCCACTTCTGTTTTTAGAGGAGGAAACTTCCCCCCACCCCCGCCCCCAAAAAGAGATGAAATGATTTGTCCAGAAACATTCATTCACACTGAAGTCTGAGCCCACGTGATTGGGCTTCCCAGCTCTAGGCTCTTCCATAGAGCGTTGACATGCATAGGTCCACAGGCCTAGATTGACTAAAGAGGAAACTTAAGGAAAGGTTAAGATATATACACACACATACCTTTATGAGGCAGGTCCCTAAATCTCTTACAATATTCTGTCACCTCAGTGTCTTCCCTGGAACTGGACAGTTTCACTTTTTTATTTTATTTGAGAGGGAGACTGCAAGCAGGGGAGGTATGGAGGGAAAGGGAGAGAGAATCTCAAGCACACTCTGTGCCCAGCACAGAGCCTGATGTAGGGTCAATCTCATGCCCCTGGGATAATGACCTGAGCCTAAAATCAAGAGTTGGACACCCAACCGACTGAGCCACCCAAGCATCCCCCAGAATTTCACTTTAAATTGGAACCACTCACAAGAAAGATTAGGTTCACCCACAAAAAACTCTCACATCCAAAAATCACATCCCACTCTGTCAAAGGGTTTTATATGTATATAAAATACATATATATAATATAAATATATATATATATATATTATATATATAATCAGCTTATCTAGACACATTCACACACATCGTTTTGTTGGTCATGTAGATTTAAAGTAGCTTTGGTAGCTTCAGTGTGATTCATTAATTCACAAAATTCAGTTGTACTCTCTGCTATTTGATATTGATTTTAAAAAAAGGATTGATACAGTTAGGGTTGCTCTGTACTGTCATCTTAACTGTCTCGATCACTAGGCATCAAAGCTAAATCCTCAGGTATTCCAGAAAATTCTAATCGTGAGATAACAAGAGAAATTTGAAATAGTTCATTTGAACTGTTGCAATATGCTTACAAAGATAAGAAGCCATGAAAGTATCCTTTTCTCTTCTTTAAAAATAAACACAGGTTATAACCCAGATATAATCAGTATGGTTCGATCCCCACCTCCACCTTCTCGATACCTTGGGTTACAGAGATTTGCAAACTAAAACCTGCTTCTTCTTTGGGTTTGATGGGTCAATCTCAGATCTTAGGGAAGTAAGAGAAGCAAACTTGTAAATGAATTGCTCTGGAATTTCTGTCTGACTTATGCATTTTCTTTTATTTATTTCATTTTTGCATTGAAAACATTACATTTCTGTTTCCTTATAGAGTAGTGTATCAAGAGCCTGTGTATGGCAATAAATTGCTGCAGGTATGAAATCCCGACTGGTGGAAAAACTCATCACTATGATTGTGGGTTTGCTGTGAAATCCTACTAACAAGACAATTCTGGGGAGGGGAGATGTTCTCTAACATAGAAGGAGGAAAGACTTAACTGAATTTTCCAGTTTCGATGTGAATGCTTCCAGAATAGAGATGCATATCCTAAGATTTCCCTTGTTTGCTAGATCATGAGTGTATCCAAGTGGAGGTCTGACTTGGCTATAAATTTCCGGGCTTAAAATGTATCTACACTCAATTAATATAAGTTCAGTGAAAAGAATTGCAATGTTTCATTGTCATCAGTTGTCTGGATAATTTTGTAGTAGGTTCCTGGAGTCAACTAGAATGGTTAAGAGAAAAATTCATCCAGCATTGAGGGTGTGTACAGCTAACATAACTTTCCCTGGTTTCATTGTAGCTTCTTATAAATTTATTTCACACCTATTGCTATAGCTTTCAACCCTATTACTCACTGCTGAAGCAACCCCCAAATGAACCAATTTGTAGGAAGAAAAAAGAGCCAACACATCCATTGGAGTGTAGCTGGCCGAGTCTCCCAATATGGTCTATAACCAACATTAAAACTGTCAAATAAAATGAAAGAAGAATGTAAAGCTAAGGATGATCAGTGGGAGTTTTATTACATGGATTTCCCTGTAACATACAATTCTCATTTTTTTTTTGTTCTGTATTAAGTCCATTAAGAAAGTGCATTCTTTTTTTTTTTTTTAACCATGAGAATTCATCAAGTTTTAATGAGAAATCTGTATGAAAAAGGGGTACTTGGATCTAGGAGAGAACAAAATAATTTAAATTCCCAAGATCAACTTTTATTTTTACATTTTGAGAAAACTGACTTTCATTGCCACACTTCAAAAACTGCTGAATATATGATGCAGATAAATTAGGGAGTGATTATTGAAGTGTTTCATTTTGCAAATGTTTTTATAAATGTAGTTTCAGTAAATCACATATTGAGATATATATGTGTATACTGGTATATTTGTGGTTAGCACAAAGTGAGATCCTTGGGTATTCTCAGAAGCTAGGGTGTTTCTGTCTGGGATCAAGCCCACTGCTACTTTATATGGTGAAACTGAAGGGAAACACACACACACACACACACACACACACACACACACACACACACACACACCCGAGACAACCCTTTCTACCCTATGTCCCCTGCAGTACACAAACATTTTGCCTCTCTTCCTAAGTCATTCACCATTAGGACATTAGAACATCTTTGTCCAAAAGTATGCTTTAAGGTCAAAAATGTGATTTCCTTTGTTGAATGACTCAGATGCACTGAGGGTCTACAGTGCTCAGCAGTATTGTTTTAGGAAGTTTCACAAATGGAATAGCCAGTTTCCTCTTAATTAACTTGGCACTTCCCAGACCTATTTGGGAAAGGTTCCTTTTCCTACCCCAGCTAGTATCCCACGAAGCACAGTTTTGAAAACGTTTTTTTGGAGCACCATCAGAGGTCCTTAATCAGTAATGTGCCCAACCTCCAGAGGACGTCTGCTAGCGAAAGAAATGTTTCAGACAACAGCAGTCAGGGTCTTTGTGGCCACGTCTGGTGGTGGCAGCAGAGGTGTGGGGGTGGAGGGTGGAGTGCGGATCCATAATGGCCATTTAAAATTTATATTTTATATAAGGTCTCATTTACAGCTTGTTTAGGAGGATGTTTTATGAGTAGGGAGTACAGAACTATGTTGTGCTTATCATTGGTTTGGTGGTGGGAAAAATCTCACCGTCACGGATGCATTTTTGTCCTAAAGTCGGGAAGACTGGTCTCAACATGAACATCCTTTGGTGCCAGCAAATGGAAATGAGCACTCCTTTTTCTCAGACGTTAGCACAGAACCTTGGAGGAGCTCTGGCTATGCTCAGCGAGCTGCAAAATGTGGAGCAATAAAATTGATTAGAGTCACCTGTTAGCAAGGCAAATTAAAGCAATTTGTATTTTTTGATCATTTTACAGTGTATGCACACCTACACTGAGTTAATACACAACTCTGTTATTCCCCTAATACGGATTTTGTACAGAAGAAAAATAGCAAAGGAAAACAATGCAATAGAGAGATGTGGTGGGATCAAGCCACTTAATCCTTTTCCTTTTTCCACTGAGTACCTATGTGGTGGATCTCATAGACCTGTACTGTCCAGCACTGAAGCCACCAGCCCCATGTGGCCCTTTGCATGTAAATTCAAATGAACTCAAATTAAACACAGTAAAAATTCAGTTTGCTCCACTAGCCACTTTTCTGGTGTTCGATAGTCACCAAGGACCAGGGACTACTGTCCTGGACGGCACAGATGTAGAGCATTGCCATCATCACCAGCAGGCCTACTGGTCAGGAAGGAGACCACGGCTTAAGGTCAGAGGCTCCACTGACTCCACAGACTTCAACACACTGTGACCTTGACTTTTAAATAGGGAATGCTAGTAAGCAGCTTCCTGAATGACAAAGACACATGTCAAGGTATTGACCATTTGTACCTGTCTTGCATAAAAACACACACTTCTTCTCCTTACATGGGCAAGTCATGTGAAAACAGTGGGGTGGATGGCCCTTCCCAAAGCTTCATAGACAAGCACATCGGTTGTGCACAAGGATCCCAATGGCACACACATCCATTTTATGTGCATACAGTGAATACCGACTGGCCGTCATTGATGCTCATTTTCATCATCTGCTATTTCCACTGCAGCTGTTGTCTCCACTTCTCAAACTTGCTGCCCACTTTCACCAGTGGAAACGATCACAGAAGTTGGGAACACATACAGAGTGCAAACCCAGAGGGTTTCTTGCAAGGAGCTGTTGCTAGAAATCTTTGCTGGGACCAAATTCACAGTCACAAATCATGACTGATTTACACGGCCCTCGATGCAGATACCTTTGCAATGGCTTTTGCTTTTTATTCTGGGAGAAAACACACACACACACACACACACACACACACACCACTTTGTCTCCATCAAACCTTTCAGCTAGTGGTAGTTAGTGCCTCCTAGCAATCAGAGAGCTATCTTCAGCCCCTCTCTACCTCATTGTTTAATACACACACCTGCACACCTGTGTCTTTCCGGACACATCATGAAAGCCAAGGAGATGGACAAGCAGATAAAAAGAACAACTGTAGAAATCTGGTGACCTAATTTCCCCTCGGCCCATCATTCTCTGTCTTGAGCTTGGTGCTGGTGTGACAACTGCTTTGGTTTTACAACTCCTCAGTACATCTAATGAGTTTCCCTGTTTCCTAATTAGAGAACATGGTGTTTGGAACACCAGGTGGTGTCTGGATAAGACCTGGTGTTTTTTTTGTAGCTTCCATGTTATTGTTCAAGGGAGACTTCTTTTCTTTTCTTTTTTGTAATACTGGCTCCAAATGATTGGTGACTCTGTCAGGATGTCTTGGATGTGTGTGCCTTCTCCAGGGCTGATCCAAAGAACAAGTTTCTCTAAGGACAGACCAGATTTTTGAATTGCTACATTAGAGGTGGCAGATATATCCTGAAAGTTAGCTGTTGCTAGAAGAGGGTAGAAATAAATTATTCAGACCACTTTGTCTACATTCTGAAAGATGGTTTTTGTAGCATTGATCTCCTTGTCCTACAACTCAGCTGTCTCCTATACGTGGAGCTAAATGTAACAGACCCCCCACTCCCGATTTGGTTGTTAGGTCCCCTCTGACACATGAGTGACTTTGCTGTTCACTGTCCTCTAACACATCAGTCTGTTCAGAGCTGCCACTTTATGAAGAGGGTGAGAACTGTTTTCCCAGAGGATTATGGGACTGTGAATTCTAATTAGAACCCTAGTGGTCCCAATGTTACCGGTCGAGACTGGATCCTGTTTGTTAATTGTGCTGAGATCATTCGACAGTGGTTGATGTATTGCTGTGGTCTGCTAAGCAAGCTCAGTTATTTTCACAGTTTGATAATCAATGCTCCACTGAACACAATTCCTTTCGAATATGACCATTTGCTTGTCCTCTGCTTAATTGAACAATTGCATTTGCTGGTACATGCAACTAAATGTTAATTATTTTTTTCAGGTTTTTTTCTTAATGATTTTATTTACAAATTGGAAAGCTTTATCATATTTTCCACACCAAACAAATTCCCTATCTGAACCAGTGTTATATCTTTAGCAGAAAAGACAGAATTTTTAAGAAGTGCTCACCATTCCATTTTTTAAAATAATTATGCAACACTTAGAAAGCTACACACAGTCTTCTTTAATTGCCTCAGTGGTTCAACAGCTACATATGCAAGACATTACTAATAAACTTTCAATCAAAGCATTATTTTTTTTATAAATACAAATGCAACACAGGAGGGCATTAGCTCAGCCTACATTGGATTTTCAAGGAAGTAATCAAGGAGTGTTTGAATGAAGCCTAAGTTAGTAGCTAATAAGTAAAGGGAAAGCATAATCATTTTTGAAACTCTGGAAAGTTCAGCAAAGTATAAAGAGTGTTTAAAGAATCCCCCGTAATCCTCCCCACCCCAAGACGATCACCATTAACCATGTAGGTACATGTCTTTAGAAGGGTATGTGGGTTCTTCCTCTGGGATATGCTCACAATCGCTAACCTTTAACATCCAGCTGGGGTTGGTATCCAAGCCCCTGTCTCTCCAGTGTGTTTTGTTCTTCGCTCTGGTACTAAGCTTTCATTAACCTCCACGTTAGACTGGTGGATGTGGGTAACTGCTGTTCTGGTGTGGTCTCCCAGTTGGGCGCCCCTGTGTTGGGCTCCTGTGCATTCCTAAGTCCGATTTCTCCTTGCGTTTTAGGGTGGTTACGCTGCATACCGCTATGCCCAGCCTACCCCTGCCACTGCCGCTGCCTACAGTGACAGGTAAGAGTCTCCCTTCTTCTGCTTGACAACTACCTGGAAATGAACTTAGCTGGCGGGAGACGAGATTCTCGTCTGGTTTTGGTGCAAATGCATGACTTCTGGGGAGGCAGCGCCCAAAAAGTCAGGTCCCACCGTGAAGGGAAACGGCGCCATGTAGAGGGACGATGAACAGTCAAGCCTAGACCATCCTAAACTCTTGCCCTCTCTGCTTGAAACACAGAATTGCTATGTCTGGTCCGAGTAGAGTTGCTTTCCAGATCTCTCCATTCCTGTAACAGCACACCTTGCATGCACACACATACAGTCCCTGTACAGTCTTTCCACAGTCTTCTGCGTAACAAGCAGCCACGGTTTCATCTAACTTGTAGGAAGAATCCCAAGAAGACGATCCTACAGGTTTCCCTCAATTTCGAGCACCTGGTGCCCCCCCCCTTTTTTTACAACGTTTTACACCCAGTAAAGCATTCCCTCCACTGCATGTTTTAAATCTAGAACAAAGGAATGGGGGAGATGTATCTGGCATTCCTAAGATGATTCACTCTTTTTGGCAGTCCCAGTGTCCGATCCTACTAAGATAAGCCAACATTTATTCGTAACGTGCACCACATGTTAAGACTGGCAGTGGAAGGGACCGAGTGGGTTTAAGAAATGCAGAAGTCAGAATGGATGGTGGGGATGGGGGTGGGGGGGTGGAGGGGAGCTTGATGACCCATTACCCAGGCTTAACAGATAACTGGGTTTCTGAAATGGCAAGCCACAGCTATTCCTGTGTAGGTGCCTTGAAAAAAAAAAAGCGTGCGTTTCCATATTGAATGCAACTCGTTGGCTCTGTTTTCTGAGGACATAAACGTGAATGTTCAGAAGCTCTGCATGCACAAATGTGATCGAGGGTGCTTATTTTTGGTAATGACTCTTTTAATTTAAAAATATGTCTCATGAATAAAACAGTAATGGTAACAATTTGCATGTGTGGCTGAGGCATGCTGGGTCAGACAGGTAAGCAGGCAATGTACTTGACCCCTGAATGGGAAGTGTCGGCAGCCTCTGGTTCTCCTTCCTCCCTGGCCTGTTGTGACTTAGTTCCTCTCTTGGTTTGCTGTGGTGTGCTTTTTCTGCGGCCCCATTCCATTTCTCACGAGATGTGTTGTGAGCTCGATGTAGCTGCAGATTTCTTCCAAGGTAGAAGAAAGCAAAATCAACTCCTGAACCCCAAAAGCTGCACTTTGAAATCCCCATGCCTACACTTGTAATAAATGGCTCTTTGGCAAGAAAGGAGGGAGATCACTATCTGGTTGTGTGCAGGTTTCATTACTACTTTTGTATAAACAGCCATAACGAGTTCCCAAGGCCGGAGGGAGCCTCTAAAGAAATCCACACAACATCAAGATACAGTTCTAAATGCATAAATTATCCAGTTACCCAGTAATCTTTCACTAAGATGCAAAATACGTTTTACATACGTTACTATCTTCAATCCACTTTGACACCGGATTAGGAAACTAGAGAGGGTCAATAAAGCTAATAAAATGATGTTAATCTTGAAATCCTCGAACTCATTCTACAAATGAAGAGTCTTAATGCTATTAAATTCTGCACACTGAAGATTCACAAAGTATCAATTGTGATGTGGTTCATCTCCAACCCTTAATTATTTTTGTGAAAATATCTCTAGATGCTAAATTCTCAAACACCCACTTTGTATATAATTATAATCATAGTAACTTTAGTCTGCTGTATAATTATAAGAATCTTACACGGATTTATTTCTCTGGATTTTTATCTTGCTTCTCAGTATAAGTGCATCTTCCCCCAGGTTGGAAAAAGGTTAATTACAAAGATATACTTTAAATTGCCTTCTTCAATAAGACCAACCTAGACACTTTTTGAAAAATAAACAATATTTAATACTGTTCTTAGATAGAATTACTTGAGAATCTGGCCATCTCTATTGGCATTCATTTGAAAATTAATTTAAAATGATGTTGCATTGGGGGTCTCCCTGTGCAAATATGTGTATAAAATCTGTTATTTTTAATATTACTGATATTTCTCATTGGCAACGTGTCCTACCGAAAATTGCCCTCATTCTTGGATTGGTAAATCTTGAGTAGCCCTACAATTCCCACTTTAGAGGAATCGTTTCAGTGGAAGAAACCAAGTAAATATACTCTTGTCCATGTAATTGGCCTCATGCTGTTCATATACATTGGGTCTTCTTGGTTGCTGTAGAAATTGATCGCTAGCCCTATTTAACTTTATTGCAAGCAAGACAATTGCCACAGACGGGATTATTGCATTGAGGTAAATGCAGGAATAGGTAAATTGCCAGAAAACAATCTTTAAAATGATATTTCTGGTTCGATTTGCAAAATGTATTTATGACATGATGGTACTTCCTTATATTTTCAGTAAGCAGGTAAAGAGAAGGAAGACCCTTCCCTTTGATAGAAGACACACGTTTGGGGAAAATATGAAATTGTCAGAATAGGTTTTGAATCCAGATGGAAGATGCCAAGTTTCTAGAATTTATCTCAGGGCAGTTGTGTAATAATTTATTTTTACACGATCACAGTGCAGTATCAGCCATGATAGATTTCTCAGTTCCTCTCGTCTGGAAGACAGGCAGGATGACAAAGAGTAAAACTTCTAAACCCAAAGAAACTCCTTCAGGATAGGAAGCAAAATCAGTAAGAATTGAGAGCATTTTGGTGATGCTCACTGGCTGTCAACTAAGTGAAGAGAAGCCGCAGCGAACTTTACTTGTAATCATGAGATTTGCTCCTCAGGCATGTGGAAAGCGAAAGAGGTTTGATGTCCCCCGTTGGTAGAATTTTGCCTTTTATCAGCACAAACTAAGCCCTCGTCAAATTAAAGATTCAGGGACCTTTGGAAAATGTTGAACCCCAGTAACCTCAGGACTGTCCAGAAGGTCCTTGATGGGTCCCTTGCAACTCCCTGCCCCATCATCTTCTTGGTTACATGATCACATGCTGATTATCTGGGAGCACCCTGAGAGTTTCTGACTGCTGACCTCCAGAATGAAGACCATCTGGTGTGGGCAGAGATTTCCCCAAAAGAAACAGACCTGCCTGGAGTAGGTAATTGTATAGTCTCACTGACGAATTTAATGGGAATAGGCAAACGTATTTCCTTGGCATTTAGAAAACCTTTGATAAGCACTTGCCTTCACCAAACCTTCCTTTTTAATCTCGCTTTGATTTAGGGAAAGCCAACTGTCCAAACTCTCAAAGGGGATTGTTTTCTGAGCTTGAACCAATCAAAGCATGGCAGTGGGGCCGACGGTCATCTGGTCATTGCATGCCACTTGGTGTTGCTGATGTGTCCGTGATGCGTTCTGGATTTGACAGGTCCACCATCACATTAGCTCGATGAATGGCTTGCTTGAATTAAGCCTGGGGGTAGGCTTCTCTTTATGGATTGGCTCTTGGTTTCTTTGTGTTTTATGACTTGGTTGTTGATGCATCTGTGAGCAGCCAAACCAGAAAGTGGGGCGGGAGGGGATATTCCCTATTCAGGGACTTGTGCCACAAATATTTGGGGATGTATGTATGATGTGTCTATAGCTTTGATGAAAATGTTCTCTCTTCAGAAAGGCAGACATTTGTCATTGCTTGTCCTGCTTGCTAAACATTCTAACATCTCCTAACAACCAGTGCATGAGAACGTCCCCCACATTAGTGCAGAAGGGAACTAAGGGTCTGATCAGCCAGAGAAGAAAGTAATGCAGAGTGGTTCGCTCGGAGATTTCATAACGATCCCGTTGCACTGATAGTTACCAAGGGCCATTTCTTCTTTCACGTAAGACATGTGTTTCCTTTGAGGATCCCCCAAAGTCAGCCACTTTGGACACAACAGTTATAGCCCCAGCCGCACAGGTGCCCCTAGCCTGAGCAATGGAGACAACATGCAACAAGGTTTTGTTTCTTGTATTTTCTACTTTTTTTGTTCATTTGTTTTTTGAGACCTTAAAGTTTCATTGAAAACATTTTGTGTGACAAAAAAAATGGTGGAATATTGGCAGTTTCGTAGCTTAGTAGTTAAAATGCCCTAGAATCAGTAATCTTGCCCTCTGCATTTGAAATACACACACACACACACACACACACACACACACACACACACACATATACACACACACACTTCATATATATGTGTGTATGTTGTGTGTCTATATATACATATGCTTAAATGAACACACACACACACACACACAGCTGTGTCTTAGGCCCTCACAAAAGACTCCTGAGAGAATCCAGGTAAATCTTAATATAAGGAGGTCAGGACTTGTCAAATTCAGGCAGTCATAAGCCACATGCTAGAACATTTTTTTAATGTGATAGTCATAACCTATTAATAGAAGTTTCTATTTCAGAGAGAAATAGATTAGTAGTTCTTTTTTAAAAGTCAATAAGGATAAGTAGGCATGTCTTTGAGGTCATGGAGAAGTTGGTCTACCCCTATTTGAATTTATATGGGTGATAGAGATAGATAGATACATACGTACATACATACATACATACATGGGTGGATGGATAGATGGATGCGTGGGTGGGTGGATGGATGGAAAGTTAGATGATAAATAGATACACAGGTGGTTAGATGGAAGAGAGAAAAATGAGAGAGGAGAACAGAGAACAGAAGAGTGGAAGAAAAAGAAAGAGAGGGAAGGGAGGAGAGGAAGGAAGAGGAATGAAGGGAGAAAGGAGGGAAGGAGGGAGGGAGTGAGGAAGGAAGGCCACTCCTGGGACTGGTCAGGCATTAGCCATGCTTCTTAGATGTCAATACAGAGAGCTTATCTTTTACAAAACGATGACAACAGAAAATGGTAGCTTTGTTTTGTTTTTTTGTTTTTTTCCTGTTTTATGCAATTTTGTTTTTAATGATTTTACTTGGCAGAATAAATGCTGGCAGCTCTATAGTAGCCTTCCTATTAGATTTTTACATTTTCAATTTTTTTTTTTCCTCTGAGACCACTGTTG